AAAGAGCTCCTGTGTGTCACTGAATGTGTGCATTATTGACTGAAAGACATCTTCTTTCTCCATTTATCTGTTTTTTTACAGTGTGTTAAATTCATGTTAATGAATATTTAAAGATATTTCAATTAGTGGAAAATATCGCAGGGGGTAATATTAAAAAAAAGTCTAATCAACCAAAACTTTCGCGTCCCCCATGCAGTACCTCTGCGGACCCCCTGTTGAGGACCTCTGGCATACTGTAGACCAAAGCCAGTAGAGCTTTCTTACCAATTTTCTTAAATCAAATTCGAGTCATGCAATAAAAATATGAACAAATAGAAATGTTTGAAGGTAATATGAAATGTCTATACGATTTAATGTTAGATTTAATGGCCTATTTTAAAATAATTTTGCATTAAAACAACACTATTTAACTTATTTTACCTACTAGGGATGCTACATCTGTGACTTCCATGTTTATCGCCACTAGAAGCAACAAGCAACACTGTACTGTCACAGGAATTTAACCCAGAACCTTGTTGCTGCGAGGCAGCAGTGCTACCCACTGTGCCACTGAGCAGCTGATTTGTTTAAAGATCTCTTTCTAAGAAACTCAGCTAATTGCATAGTGTCCTGACTACCAATGGTAGAGATTCTCTTACAGTATGATTTTGACTTGTAGCAATCTGTCCAATCCAGCATGCATACAGTAACAGTGCAGAGGAAAACCCTCCTTTTATCAAGTTGAAACTTCAAGTAAAACCAGGCTCATTATGAGCAACCTTCTGCCGAGGCCAACTGGGGGTTCAAGAAGACAGAAACGGATATACAAAAGATTAGATTAGATTCAACTTTATTGTCACTACACATGTACAGGTACAAGGCAACGAAATGCGGTTTAGGTCTAACCAGAAGTGCAAAAGCAGCAGGTGCAGGCACATGGAAGCACTGATCCATAAATATTCCTTATGTTAGAGAAGGTAATTGTAAACTAGAGCAAAATGTATGTAAATTAATTTAGCCCCTAGGGATGATACGTCTGTAACTTCGATGTTGGCGCCCCTGAGAGCAACTAGTAACGCTGCATGGTTGAAAAATTAAGCAGTCTTCATCTGTGTTTTGTAGACTAACAACAGCCTCTATTGGGTCTACTGTGGTTTCTACGCTCAGACTGCCGTGAAGTGGTGAGTAAAATGACTCATTCATCAATGGATCCAACAATCTAATAAAATAACTCCATTCATGGTGAAAATTTTAGTATATTCTCAGTTCTCAGGAAAACAGTCATCATTCGTCAGCTCTCTGGTATCAGAAAAGGTTATTTGAGATTAATTAAGCAATTAAAACTTTTTTTCATAATACCTAAGACTTGAAAACATATTTTCCCTAAGGACTGACAACTTTTTTTCCTCAGAACTGACAACTGCTTTCCTTAGAAATTAGGATGCCCTAAAATGCACTCTGTATCCGTGAACCATCAAATTTCCCACAATTGGCCAGATCTTGACATCCTGCTCAGTTCATTAGCTGCAACTTTAAACAGCATTGGCTGCTAAATGCTATTAGATTTACCTTTCAGCTTCATGGCTGAAATAGTTTGATCCATAATAGAAGTATTGATTATGATATTCACAAAGTATTTGATAGAAAACACATGTCTGACTTGTGAAATTTTAATGTGATAAAAAGCCATTCTGATGCAGACATTTAGCTTCAACAGTTATTCAAACCTTTCTCAGCTGATTTTTTTTTTTTTTTTTTGTATTTTATCAATAAGCTACCAAAAGTAAAAATCTCTAAAACTGTAAAGCCTAACTGTTTTAGGTGAGGTTTGAAAAAACTATTTTACATCTATGCAGATATAGCTGACTACTGTCAATTAATTGTAAACTATACCTAAATATACATTTTCATTCCTGGTCTCTGATTTAAACTATAAAAACCCACGGTGTGAGGCGTGATTCTGATGACATTTAAATTCTAGATGTTTAGTGTCGAAGCTCAGATTATTCAAATTTCTTGTGAAGCTTGACACCACTCGCTGTGGTTGTGACTGCAGTAAGCTGGAAACATTTTTCAGTGAAACTACTGCTTCAAAAAGATCAAAGCTGTGTCAAGCAGACTGGCTCAAGATCAAGAGTTTCTGGGAGGAGCAGTATGCATGGACCATCGATACGTGCCAAGTACTGTGTGTTGACCAGCATAATTGTTTAATATTTCTCAAATTAAAACATTTAAATACACAACTGTAGTTTAATATACGTCAGTCAAAAGTCCTACCGTGTTTATTTAAATAAACCTTTTTTGTTCTGTAACGGGCCCTGCAATTATATTTGTTATGAGCGACAAAAATAACTTCATATTCAGCTTACCTTATTAATAAAGGTAAGATTTCATACTTTAGCATGGACAATGTTTTAATTCTGGTATCTTATACACTTATGTCAAACAAGCTGCAGTTTTTTTCCTTTATTTTTGAGAGTTAAAGAAAAGCCTATATTGGTATCAGGACAGAAAAAAAAGTAGTTGAAGGATTATAATCAAAGGTTATAACCAAATCTGATAACACTAAAATTTGCTGATTGAGGAGTTTCGATCTCAAAGTAAACCTCTACATCAAATGTGACAGACACTTGGTGTTAAGAATGTTATGTTATGGTAAAACACCCATTTCAGTGTACGCTTGGACTGCCTACTATCAGCTCACTCAAAGTGTAAATATTTGATTAATTTAGAATTTATAATCTGCTTTAACTTCTGATGCTGTCTGAATCCATCTATAGCAGGTATAAGGCCATCGGAGAGACTGATCCTACAATTCAATTCAGTGTTTTTATATAACACCAAATCGCAACAATTCACAACTTTTTACAGAGGTAATTCAGTCGAATCAAACCAAACAGATTCGTTCAAACTTCTCTTTCTAAGAAACCCAGCTAATTGCATTGTGTCTTGACTCCCAACAGTAGAGATTTGCTTGCAGTATGTTTTTGACTTTGTAGCAATCCGTCCAATCCAGCGCACATACAGTAACAGTGTAGAGGATAAACTTCCTTTAATCAAGTTGAAACTTCAAGCAAAACCAGGCTCATTGTGAGCAACCTTCTGTCGAGGCCAACTGGGGGTTGACAAAGACAGAAAAAGATTAACAAAGAGCACATAGAAGCACCGATCCATAAATCCTCCCTATGTTAGAGAAGATATGTATAAAGTAGCTCAAAAGGTGTCTCTGTCTAAGCAAGAATAAATTGTGCAGATGAGCGCTGAAATTATTTTTAAGAGAAAAGGATAAAAGATGACACCTATCCTGATAGACCACACTAAATGTGAGATTAAATGTGTAATATAGTCTGGCCCCGATGAATGATACATCGGAGGAGAAATAGGATCTCTCATTTTATTTTTCATCAGAACTTCATCTGCTGTGTTTTAGATCATTTGAACGCTTTTAAATATTGGCCTCCTGGTTGTAAAGAATTACAATAGTCTAGCCTATAAGTAACAAATACTGTACATGGACCACATTTTCAACCCCAGGACAGATTTTCTCATTTTTGCAAAAACTGAGCAAGTTCTCTTCTTATTTTATGTGCTTTAAAAGTGATGACTAGCTGGAGATGTGCTGTGGGCTCAATCCATCTACCAGAGGGAACTACAGTGTGCTGCTGAAACATGCTTAAAAACAACACAATATGCAGCTGTATTTATTTTCTACACATCTTTTTGGAAGAACAATCCTACTGTCAGTATAAATAAGCAGATCTGGCAACTTCATCCTGCAATTAAATATTTGCAAGACCAGAAAATGTATTGCTTGTGTTGTAACCTGTTTTATGCAGAGGTTAGGTTTGTAGTGCATGATGAGAAAGGATTCCCATGACAAGGTTAATCCAACTTATAAACCTTGAGCATGATGCATCCTTTTAATATTATGCAACTAACACCACAACAATAGTAAAGTGACTCAAAGTATTACAGATGAATACAGCCCATTAAATAAAAACAATAAGAAAAGCAGCAGCTTTTTTAATGCTGACATTTCCATTTGGCAAGTCTATTCTTGAATAAGCTCTCAACCTCCATAGTCAATCTGACAGTTTGGTTTACATGCCTGGGGTGTCCTTGATGTTCTGTTGAATAATTATTTTGATTTACATTTCATAAAGGAAGCTCCCCTAAAATGCTTTCCTTGGCCATGGCGGGCCGAGCAGTACTCCCAAGACTTGTGACAGGAAGATGGAAGACATTTTTGAAGGATGGAAGGTGCTTATTTCTTAAAGAAATATATTACCAAGGACACACACATTAGGCTTTATTTTTTAGCTGCACCTTCTGTATTGCAGATGTTTCACTACCTCAGCTTCTCACTGGAACACTTCATCCTCACCTTCAGCCCATCAGAAGACCCCATCCTATAGCTATGTGGTTGTTGGAGCAGGGTCAGCAGGCTGCGTCCTCGCTAACCGCCTCACAGAGGACGCACAAGAGTCTGTCTGCCTGTTGGAGGCCGGGCCCAAGGACAAGTGGTTAGGTAGCTCACGACTCTCATGGAAGATCCACATGCCGGCTGCACTGACCTACAACCTCTGTGATGACAAGTATGACAATTAATTTGCCATATTTTGTACTGTTAAATGTAAGGTTATATCTGTTTTAAACACCTCATAATGTTTTGATAATCTAAGGGGCTTTTTTTGTCATTATGCTGTCTTTTATCTGAACTCCTCCTCAGGTATAACTGGTACTACCACACTTTACCTCAGGCCCATATGGACAACCGGGTGATGTATTGGCCCAGGGGACGTGTTTGGGGAGGGTCCTCCTCACTTAACGCAATGGTTTACATCCGTGGACATGCAGAGGACTACAACCGCTGGCAAAGAGAGGGTGCCGAGGGGTGGGACTACGATCATTGTCTACCTTACTTCAGGAAAGCTCAGTGCCATGAACTAGGTGAAAACAGGTATTCCAATGTAAATGCTTTCTTTGCATGAGTTTGATAGGAACTAGAGATGGGTAAAATACACAAAATGGACTACTTTCACTGAGTAATAATGGATGTTAAAAAAACAAAAACAATCACATTAGTTAAATAGGCCACTGTTCTAGAAAACTGTATGAAATAATACCATTTAATGGTAATTTGCAGACATGAATTGATAATCTATTTTTGCTGAACCGTCTTAGGGACAACTGTTTGAATAATAAAAGTATCTAAATAACACATCTAAACAATGCATTCTGTTTTTCTCTGTATCCACACACCTCATCAGATTTTCTAGCCTGGTGTTATAATCTAAAAACAATCAATTTCCAAAGTTCACCACAAGTAGAGGTACCTTGGTGCAAGCTTGGGAAAAAAATAAAAGGATTTCTTGTTGTTATGCAGTGTTGTTATGCTTAATTTATTGTGACTACATAAGGGTTATATTCTTGATGGTATGGTGTTTTGCCTTTGTCTCTTAACACTTGTCATGTATCTGCAAGAATTTTACTGTCTAGGATGAGCCCTGCTTAGTGACTTAAGTGGATTTTTTGGATTAAAGGATTTAAAATGTACATTATGACACAATTTAGGACTAAGTAAGTTAACTTTTTGTGACGCAGCAGTCTGGTTTATTTTTTTCTTGATATTTACTTAACTCTGTGGTTTGTGAACTGCTACAAATTAGTCAAAGACCACTTTCTGGTTTTCTCTTCACATTGCAGGTATAGAGGTGGCAGTGGACCTCTTCATGTGTCTAGAGGAAAGACCAACCATCCTCTGCACAAGGCTTTTATTGAAGCAGGGCAGCAGGCAGGATACCCCTTCACAGATGACATGAACGGATACCAACAGGAAGGCGTTGGCTGGATGGACATGACCATATACAAAGGTTACAGGAACAGAGGAAAAATCTTTATTAGAAACACCACATAAACTTTAAGTACTTTAACCAATTTCGGTTAGAAAGGGGGTTAAAGGACTGCACTGATGTTATTTGGAGTTTATTTTATGATAAATACACTATTCAACTTTGCATCTTTCACCTAACCAGTGAGCCTAAGAACTGTATTTGTTTCCTAATCTGATTTTGAGTGCTCAATGAATGGGGGGAAAAAACATATAACCTCAGTTTTACCCAAAAACAAATCCTATTTTTTAAACATATTTGCACCTAAAATATAAGCCTCTAAAGCAACATGGGATGCATTTGCTATTGTAAAGAGCAAGGGTCACCAACGCAGTGCCAAGGGGCACCAAGGGGCCCTAAGGACCACATGGGGTGCCCTCGGGGTCTTTGAAAACAAAACAACTCACCGTTGGCTAAGTTTCAAATTTTTCTTTATTCTGTTGGCCCTATTGTTTGCTAATTTATAGAGCATATCATCTTATTAATCAGAACATTTAAGCATTTATAAAGAATAATATCTGAAGAAAAAGGAATGAAAAGAAACTATAAAAATATGTTTATTATGTATGAAGTTTAGGTGAAAGCTGACCCCTCCAGTTCATAGGTCAGCATTGGTATCCCCTCATATGACTCTGTAGCCATGCAGTAGCCCTCAACCTTAAAAAGGTTGGTGACCCCTGGTATAGATTCTCTGTTTTATATCAGCAAGACCGAACACTTCACAATAAGCAGAACCAGAAGATATAAATGCTTTGATGACCCTCGAGATCATCACTAAAGTGGATTCACATGTTCAAATACCTTATAGTGAGAAAACGAGATAAATGATTATCAAAAGTTATCTTATATTTCATCTTGTGTATCTTTTTCAAAAACAGTAAAATACGTTAAGACTGAAAATCAAACTTCTTATCTGGTATTGAGGCAAACATCCTTATAAAAATGGTGATGACATCTTCCTCAAAAGAACCGCTGAACCAGATGGAACCTGTAACATAACTGCCTGCAGATATACATGTACAAGGATATGTAGTGTTTTAAATTCATCCGTTTGCAGGAAAGAGGTGGAGCACTGCCAGCGCTTACCTCAGACCGGCCCTGAGTCGACCCAACCTGAAGACAGAGGTGCAATGCCTGACCACGAAGGTCTTGTTTGATGGGAAACGTGCTGTGGGAGTGGAGTATGTGCAGAATGGAGAGAAAAAGAGAGTAAGAAGCATGAATGTTGCACAATTCTCACAAAAAACCTAAACAAAATGAAGATTTTTAAATCAGTACTTACCTAATTCCTTATGCTAGGTTCTATGGGTTTATATTCACACCAGCTTACTGGCTCTATTTTATATTTATTGAGGTGTTTGCAGATAAAGAAGTGATCTTGAGTGGAGGAGCCATCAATTCCCCTCAGCTTCTCATGCTTTCTGGTGTAGGAAACGCAGATGAACTGAAAGACCTTGGAATTCCCATCATTCAACACTTGCCAGGTGTGTTAAGTTAATAGTGTTTGTGTCGAAACAATGTAGATGATGCATGCTGTTATGGAGGAACAGTGTACTTAATGTAAGTGTTGTTTTTGTAAAAGTGTTAATCACTTTTTGACCTTGCTGTATGTCTGTAGCAATTGGTCTAATATAGTAACACAGCTAGTGTTGCAGAGCACCTGTGCTATCCGCATTACGATGACAGCTACACTGATCTGTCTATTTTTTTGTATATGTGTTTTTCTATCATTTAAACCATTATTTTTTTAAGATTAGGATTGTCTAGATGCAGGTGCAGCTTTAACCAAATAGTCTTTTTTGTTCCTTCTTAATGTTATTTTGTAATTTGCCAGGATAGCAAAAAGTCAGCTGAGTAAAACAGGAGCAGATTATCAAAATTTTATATAAAAAAAAAGATCAAAATATTAACTGGTTTCAAAATGGCAAAGCCAAATTCCAGACGACTTGGAGAGGAGATGTTGTTGATCTAAAGCAGGAGAAGAATAGGGACAGAGGATGAGTTAAGGCCATCTTTTTTTTAATCAATCATTGCGGAGACTGAGAGAGGGAAACATCGAGCAAACAAACTGAGTGAACTTCACGAGCTTCCAATGAAACGTGATGGTTTTGTTATTACGCCTCTTAGAAGTTAGCAGCAGATGGGGGTTGGAAGAGGATGGACTAAATGGAATGGGTGGATTAACTGTGCTTGAAAACAAAGAAATCACACTGTATCCTTGGATGTTTTATTTTTCAGTTTTTTTCAATTTCAAACAAAATAAAAACTTTTTTTTCTTTGTTTAATTTTTCTTTTAGCCATCTAAAATCCCAAACCAAATATATATGGCTGTTTGAATTTGCAGTTTTCCACCAAGCATTACTTTTTGGTAAATGATAAATGTCACTTCAGAAATGCTTTGCACCATTATGCACCCGTTCTCTTGCCAGCAACCACCATCACAGCCATCCTCTCCATAGCCAAAGTACAGCACAGCAGGAGGTGCAGAGGATATAATCAGTGATCAACATGATTTCATTTACAGGGTTCCCGTGGGTCCTAAAAAAGTCTGCATTGAATTCTTCAAAATAAAACTAAGGCCTTAATTGGTATTAAAATGTCTTAAATCATCAGTCTTTCGTAGGTCTTAATTTTTAAAACATCATAAATAGGATTATTTTTATTATGATTTATTTTTGTAATCTAAATAAAAGATTAAAATTGACCTTTTTTTTTTTT